TTTATCATAAATAAGCAAGGTCAAATATCAATTTCTTTCCATATTTGCAGGTYCCTAACAGTTGTCACAGCTCCACAAGTGGGATAACAATACAGCCTGGCACCTGCTAAGCGAAGATCTCCAGGCACTCCACCATATTCACAAACCTAGGCCCAAAGCAATTGTGTGGACTGAACAGTATTCCCAAGTTACAGGTGTGGGAAGAGAAAGGACAAAGATGAATTTTCCCAAGAGAAAACACTAAGGTTTCAGCTGCAATGGAAAATGAACTTAGGTCTCCAACTCTGTGGTMTTGTTCTTCAAGCACTAGCCTCCTCTTTTGATAAAAAGAGAATTTAAGTCAAATCCTTGCACACTTGAGTCCTACAATTTCCTAGGTTCTGCCTCTACTCACCTGGAGACATAATTCTATTTAAAAMAAGCCACATAGCTTTTATTTATGTAAGTGATGAATTGCTCCACGTTTGAGAACAGGCTTCAGTACTAGAGCTTTAAGGGCAAAATAAAAACTCCTCCAACCTAATTTCAATTTAAATATTGTAAAATTAACTGTCCAAGTGTGCATAGTGCACTAACTATGCCCAAGCATCAGCTTATACATGYCTGCAGAGAAGCCCACGCTGTAACCAGCATCTGCACCTACTGAATATCTTATCAATTACATTTATTTCYAAGAACCCACCAAAAGCTTTGGGTATGGAACAACGGCAAAATGTGCTGCTGATACTAGAGCCACAGGTAAGAAGTGAACAAAATCTCTTAGTGTTGGCAACTATATTAATATATCTAAGCACTAGAGACTGTTCTCATGGACAATTTCAATCAAAGAGCACATGCACATCCACGGGCAAAATCGACTCCGTTATACACAGTAGCTTTATTTCAGTACATGTTCAATTTAATCTTCTGAAGTCATCTTCATCTCAGCTACCATGGGGAAAATGAAATTAAATGCACATTTCAATTAAATATGCTGGGGCTTCAGGAATATTTGCATCCGGATTTATTTTGTATGCCTTCTTATTTCTGTTATAGTCCAAACCAAATCTAGATGCTTGCTTCCTGAAAAGAGGATTTAATGTTTCATTATTCAAGGCTATTTCTAAAAGAGATCTGAGCTAAGATTCATCTCATTAACCTCTGAGAACCTGAACAAAAACAATGATTCAGATTTGATCTCTTTTCCTTCTTTTCCTATGAAAACATGGTTCTCCATGGAACATTCCAATACTGAGGGCCTAGTATGGTGGGCAGACTACTAGGCTCCACCTATTTAATGGTGATAACTATTAACACACTTTATTCCTGTTTATTTTCAATTCTTCATTAATGGGCTTACTAAAATAATCCCAGGTAAGCGTGCACGCCGTGCATACCCCACATGCCTCCATGCTTTCAATTTGTTTGCACAGCTGTAAAATGCTCCAATTAACAGTCTGTCAGGAGAAGTAAAATACTGCCAGAAGAGCACGGGGATGAAATCCAGGCAATGGGAGAAGGACAGAACAGCATCCTGCGACATGAATCATTTGTATGAAATAGCTGCTGCTAGAATGAGAAGTCTAGTTGCTAGACAGTAGAACATTAGCAACGGCACTTCCAGCAACTTATTGCCATACAAATCTTCAGATAGTTACCAGTTCCTAGGTGTTTTGGGGATGTGCATGATGACAATTCATTTCATATGGGGAAATATCTCCAAAAAGAGAGAGGGGATGTTCCTCAAGCAATGTCCTACTGCCATAGCTGCCTAATACTGCTCTCGCTACTCAGAATTGTCACCCACACCAAGTTTTATCTGTCTGAAGCAAAGGACACGTTCAGAACTATCAAGTTTTAGGACATGATCTAGATGCTTAACAGTAAAAACAATCTTGTCTTGGAGGATCTGGGGAAAGAAGCTAGCACCTAACATGCTTAGAAATCAAATAACTGTTCGATTCTTCATCTTTAGAAACTCCAATGTTATTAAATCTATTTGAGTTTCTAAGTTTACTCCTGGCCAACTCACAGGGTGTCCCAGAAAGCTGTAAGAAGTTCCTTCCTCCCTCATAAGCCAGTAGATGTTGCAGTTCTGTTGAGAAGCACACGACAGCTCTGATGCTGAATAGAAACTTGCTGCACAAGCAGCTTCTCCGGAGCCAGTGAGATTTTTCTCTCTGCCACACTGTGGAGTATTGCAGGGTGACCTGAAGCAACCACAGTGTGCAAGGGATGAGTCGACAGAGGCGACATTATTCTGCACTGTATCTTTGGATGTGCAGCTAGAGCTTGCAAGCAAAACGGGCACAAGGAGTTTTAATGGTGGTTCCTAATCTACAGTACACAAACAGAATAGGACGCAGCACCTCCTTCTAACCATGAGGAAACTAACCCTATTCTGTGGAGACTTGCCACCTAGGAAGCTGCTGAGGTAAAGCTTGGCTTGTGAAAACAGCAAACCAGGGCTTGGGGAGGGACTTGGTAGGATTCCCCCTCTCCCATTATCTATGTTGTCAGTCCTAGTTGTCTCCATTCACCCAACTGCAGCCTGGGGCTGCCCGCAGGCTGAGCCACCTGGAGCCATTCATTTTATATCAATCTGCTTCTGTCTTCAAATGAATGAATAAAGACAAATTCAAGTTATACACACGGGTAAAAGAGCATGCCCTAGCTCTTTGAAGGGAGGCTGGACTCTACAGACCTTCCAGCTGCCAATAAAGTCCCTGGCAGCAGGGCACCCACATGGAACAGAGTGACTTCATGTGAAGAGACTTCATGTGAACAGAGAAACAGCCAAATGGCCCCAGATTTCCACATGGATTATTAATGCAGCACAAAATAATGATTGTGCAATTCTTACTACGCTAAATTTCATACCACACAACCTTCTTTTACATTTCTTTGGCACCACAACTCAGATTTTCCAGTGCGCAGCCTGGGACTGTTGCACAGGGGATTGCAACCTGAAAGGATAAATAGTTCACTAATAGTCTGCAATGACACACAGCTATTACTCTGCCAGTTCTTGGAATTCTTGCTATACCAAGTAGGAAATAACAGACATTGAGAAAACAGCAGTGGCGCAGAATTTTTCCATTTAATTCCACTGCCTGTTAAGCCAGCTTGAAAAATAAAAGGCCAACTCATCTAAGTAATTACAACATATGGGATTACAACTGTCTAATTGGCTTCTAGCACAACTTAGGTTCAAAAAAAGAGGGTTGGCTAATTGAAATTAAGGCATTCTCAGTCATACAAATTAATGCACRAAAGCAGCGCCGCGTCTTTTCATGATCAGAACACAGAAGTCCCAAATACCAGAACATTTCTGCTTTATCCTTCCAAATGGCAGCTCTCTCAAAAGAGATCACCAYCAGAAAAAGTCTGTAATAACCATCAGAACAAGTCCTTAATAATACAAAACAAAGCATAGTTATATCATAATAAAATACTGCTTGAATTTCTGAGTATTCACTATTGTAGCTGGTGTCCAAGTCTTSCTTATTAGAAGTCATCAAGGTAAAATGTCTGAGAATTCTGTGTTAAATGCATATGGTTTCCTGAGATGTCAAACTTCMAAAAAAGTTTTCTATTTTCTCATTGACTGACTATATTTTTCAATCAATCCTTACTTTCAGCTTTCTTCCCTCTTTCTTTTTCCCTAAAGGAAACAGAAGGTGCAAAAACCAAAATCTGCCTCCGTCCAGACAATTTCTTCTGCAAGACTATTATGAGCCTGTAACCAAGAAAAGCAACTCCAACAGCTGCTGCTGACACAAGGCTGTCAATACTTTCATTTCTCCTACAGACAAGTTATGAGAACATCAAAAATAGCAGATATAGTTTGTGTTGTCTGCTCTGGGTTTTCTCCCTCCTTATATAGTTGACTGTTTCAGCTTTACAGGTATCAAAATTCAACCAGACCAATAAATAATTAGTCTTGTTGATTAAACTAATGTACATGCTGACCATTTCAACTAAACTCTCCTCAAACTGACATTTGCTGGGTTCTGGAATTTCTCCCAGTAAGACAGTCCTGTGAGCAAAAGGGAAAATACAGAGTTAACAGGAAGGAYGACTTTTGGAGTAATTTCTATTCTATATCCTTTAACTCAACTTTATCTCCACACCAGAAAAAACAGTTTAGCTGTACATTTGCTATGAGAGTCCACAGAATGTAATTTCTAGTTTTGAAAACTTGAGGCTCATTTGAGTTGCTCAATATTTCACAGAAACAAGGATATCAACCCAGCAGCTGKTGGCTAAGCTAGACACTCAGTTCTTCTGATGCCAAAACATGTCAAGCAATGAAAAAAAAATCAAAAAAATCAAATTGATAGTTAAGTTGCTCTAATCATTATTTTCCCACTGTCATTTCTGCTTGCTCCCCACTTTAAACAGCATTGCACATCATTGGGTTTTAACTACATAGCATGCATTTGGCTTTAAGTTATGGTCATGTAGGCAACGGGGAGGAGGGATGGAGAAGGCAAGAAGAGAGGGAAGCAATTTCCACATTCCAGATATGCAGAGCAGAACGTTTTAAGGATGGAGATTAAGATGTTTAAACTTGGGGTGAATAAGCAGGTGTGGGAATCAGAGGAACAAAGAATATGGAGGAACACTACATATCAACATAAAAGCATATATATACACATAAATACATAAATATCAGCTAGTCTCTGACCCAGAACACAGGCAAAAGATTTGGTCAGGCCTGTATTTGCTGGTTATTTTTTCCCCCCTTCTTGTAATATCTTATTTTGGCTCCTTTTGACCTTTTATTCTCTTTACAACCTGTAGAGTACAAGGAAGCTCTCTACTGCCTGGTATAATTTCCAGAAAAAAATCACCACCCTGATATTAAACTCTGTTTTCTGTGTCAAGCAATTACCTCCGTGCCCATTTGCAGAGCCTCCATAAACGACGCCTCTCAGCTGCTCAAGGACATCCAGCATCAGACCAGCCCAACACCTCAGAGGTCAACACCACACACCAGGACATCAACCAACACTTACTTTGCCAGGCTTGTTTGCATCAAAGCTGTTCTCCTTAAACTTCTCCTGCAGGGTCTCAGCTAACCGACAAAGCAAGGCACCGTTATCCAATTTCTCCATAAAGGTTTCTGCTGTGATTTCTCTACCTGAACAGCAAAAACAGAAAATTAGCATGGCAAAAATGCAAGTTGAACAGTATAGACAGCATTTGTAAAGAAAAAGAACATGACCCAAATGCACCAAAACCAACAGGAATCTTTAGAGGTATTTGCGACGTGCCTTACCTGAATAATTACTTAGAGCACTTGGTAAGTAATCTCACTACTCTTACTGGTAGAGGCACAGCAAATTAGCCAAAGAAAACTGTTTTCTTTGGAAGGGTAGATGTTACCTGAAAAATGACTCRAATGGGTCACAATCTGCTTCTTTATTTTACTTACGTAACTCAAGGATTTTACCAGAGTGTTTGAGAAAGCAGACTGCAGCAGGCCAATGGTTTATACTAGTGCGTGGAGTTATTTATAGGGTCGGTGTCACTAACATTTTTATTGCAGCTTGTCTCCAAGCACAGTCAGGAGGAAAAGAGATGTTTCTTTAGCATTATTACTCAGCATTTTATTTAGCATCTCARTCCTGCAAGAAGTTGACAGAACACTGCAGCAAGTTCCTTTTAAAGAGCTTTTCAAAGGAAAATTTCAGAATATTTCAGAATATTTAAGGTTGGAAGGGACCTCTACAGATCATCTTGAAAAAATCTGTGATTTTTTCAAGAAAACTAGCCTTAACACATGGTACCTACTTGTGGCACTCAACTTTCACTCAAAGAAAAAAGAATCTAATTTGCTTATATATCCTTGTGCCTTGATATTGTGGTCTCACTGCTGCAAAGCCTCTTTTGCTACTGCCTCCCTGATCCAACCATCTGCCATCAAACTGCCATGACATTTTCCAACAGGAGAGAGAGACACAGCCTGAGCAGGCTGGCTAAGCTAAGAGAGAAGTGTCTACCACCCAGCTAAACCCCCAGCATGACAAGCTCTCCAGAATGTTATTATTAATAGAATAAATATATATAGAATATATATAGAATATATATATATATTCTATTCTATATATTCTATTAGAATATATTCTATATTGTATTTATTCAGCATAAACAACAACCACCACCACCACCACCACCTATTTCTTGTTAAAGCTGTTCTGTTTTCACATGCCTACTGGAAAATGCATCTTCTCTACAGTCACTTTTCTGAGCAGTTGCACTTTTCCAAGAGCGGAACCAAGATMAAGAAGAATAGGAGACATCTGCCCACAGCTGGTTTACTGCGTTTGCCACAGATTTGGGACCAAAAACACATCTGACTAAAGCATTTTTTCCAGAAAGATTTCAGGAATTCGCTTTCAGTAAGAGGTCTGGAAACAGAGAACACTTACCTGATTTTTCTAATACATTTCTACTTCAAAAACATCTGTKGGAGACTTTTTTTCCCCTCCCATTTTCTTCTCTTTTTGCCTCAATTCTCTCTGCCACACAGCCCCTCTGCAGCCTCCAGATACAAAATTACTTGTCTAGCCAGCTGAGGTCAGGACTGAAGCCAGAAGAGCTCCCCTACACAAAAATGCAGCATCTCGTCGCTTGCAAATCCCTTATCATCCTTCTAGCCTGCGTTTTTCTCAATTTTAACAATAAAACATCTTCCATTTTGCCCCATCAGCAGTTTTGGCTAAAGCTATAAAACCCTCAGAAAACTGAAAAATTACCATATTGTAGGAATCGCTCTATTTTTAATACAGTATTGTTTTATTATTATTATAGATTTATTTTCCTTTACAACTCTATTTCCAATATTTTGACCCTAGCGAAGGGCTTTTGTTTTGGAAAGCCCAGGAATACACAGGATATGCTGCATTGGTAAAAGACTCACATTCTACCTATCTACGCTGCCCTATTGATTTATAGATCTGTTATTTTCCCAGACAAGTCCTACAAGAAACCCAAAACCCATTTCAAGCTACAGACCCTTTAAGCAGATATGGAAAAACAGTTCTATCTCCTGCTGCCATTTAACAATGCATTTATATTATTTTTAATGCTGAATCGCATTAGTGGTTTGGTCACTACATATTGTACATTAAGCCAGAGTCTTTCAGTTCTGTTCCCCTTTTATGAAAGCTGAAAGAATGAGTTTTGCACTGAACATCTGTATCCAATGAAAAATATATTAGGTGTCAGCTTTCAATTCGCTGTATTTTATGGCTCCAAAAGGTGGCATTTCTTTGCTAAAACAGACACTCTGACATATTTAACAGTTGAAATGTATTGATTCAAATGAGAGTAATGTTCGTAGCCTGAGGAGGAAAAAAAAAGGGCTGTATTTGTATGGAAAAAACATTAAACTCCATTAAAAATGCATAACCCCCCCTATAATTACAAGAAAGCAGTTGCAATGTTTTTATAGAATGGCAATAACATTATATATAATAAAAAAAGGACACTAAAAGTATGAAAAATAACAGGAATATAAAAGCTTGCAAGCACTGCTCACCCCCTGCTTTAAGGCAGCCATCRGACGCCCCTTAAAAACAAGAGCCCTTCAGGCCTCTTGCTTGGGAGCAGCTGTCCCTGAGGCCACCCAGTCCTGGGGGCCCTCGTGCAACCACACAGGGAGCTCTGGGCGAGGAGGACCAACTGAGCATGGAGGGATCCAAAAACTCAAGTTAAGTACCAGCATCCAGCCGACTTGCCTATTACTGCAGCACTGAGCGCCTGCAAGGCAAGATCTTGGCTCAGATGGAGGCATTCCAGACGGGTGAAACCCCAAAGCACCAGCACAGCCGGCTCCRTGGGGTGAGCCGAAGGCTATTGTGTGTGCTAGAATAGCTAACAGCGAGGGAAATAGYTTTGGTCTCGGCCAGGCACCCTCATTTCCTTGAAAAGGAACAAAGCAGCAGTCCCAAAGGCTCCCTCCTGCTAGAGAGCATCACACGGCCTCTCTGCTAACGGAGAAGCAGTGCCAGGGTTTGCAGAAGGGCTGAAAGTGCCCTGAATGTTGTGATATTGAGCGAGATTTAAAGCCCTGCTGTCCCCAGGGGCTTGAGCAGAACACACTGATGCTGGAAATGAGGGTCCTGCTGCAGCATCTCTTGGGCAGTGGTAACCGCAGGAGCCGGTGCAGGTTTTACTCACACTCACAATAAAGAATTTTCCTTGGAAAACCTTCCCACCCTTCTCTCTCTCCAGACTTCACGCCTTCCCTAATGCTCTCACCTGCCTGCTCCTTCTCTCCTACGACACTTCTGCATGCCAGCAGTCCATCCTCACCTGCCTTCGTGGTCCCCAGCTCCCTGCAATCGTCACCTTGCTCCATGTAGTGTCCCCACAGCCCTGTTAGGAAGAGGCTGCACTGCTGACCTCCTGCAGCTCAGACGTGTCCCCATCACTAGGGCACATCTCAACCCTCCGTATATCTCAAACCTCAGAGGGCAGTTGCCATCTGGGATATTAAGGGGGCACAAATTTGCTTTCCAATTGCCATTTTGCCTCCTCCAGAAGATCTGTACAGCCCAAAGGTGAGAATTCCCATGGGGAGCTTGCCCAGGGAGAAGCACAGAAGTTTCCAGGATCACAAAGAGGATGCTACGAGACTAAATAGGCAGTTGTTTTAAAAAATAAGCTAAGTTTTTCCATTGCTGATGCACTGCTGAGTGCTGGCTTTGTGCATGCTAAAACCAAGGCCAGACAAGCTGGTGTTTGTTTCTACCTCCTTGGTCAAGGTTTCTCCTCAACCCTGGCCCTGCAAGGATCTCAGGTTGATCTGGGCAAGCTCTGCAGTAGGAAGGAAGGGTAAGAGAGCAGGAAAATAGCCCCAAGGTGCTGCCAGAGTGCCCCTCTGGAGCAGGCTACAAGGACACAACAGGGCTCGAGTCCATCCCCTATGCTTGAGATTTACAGGGCTCCTTCTCCAGACGAGAACCCGGGCAGCTAAAACAAATACAAAACTATTCAGCAACTGGCCTTCCAGCAGCTCTGAGCTTCTTGGGCATCACTCCAAGGACAAGTAGCAGAACATGTAAAAATCACCAGCAATTACTAGAAAACAATGTCCATTTTAAAATAAAGTGTCTTTAATTTTCATAGCTAGAAGTTCCTAGAAAGTTTTGGGTTTTTTGTGCCCAAACACCAATGTATCTCAGTCTTCCAAACCGCACCTCAAGTAAGGTAAAATTCGAACTGCAGCACCCAGCTTCTCTAACATCAAAAGCCCTTTATTCATATCATGAAGTGCAATTTTATTTTTATGCTCTCCAGTTTGCAATTCTGAACTGAAATCAGCATTTGCTGGTACAAATTGTCAGCATTTTAACTTCTCTAACTAGGCACATTCATTCCCTGAGGAATTTCAAAACAGCAGCAGTTTGCAAAACAACCACCACATGAAGAGGTTCAGCCCACGTTCCTGCCTCAAAGATATTTTGTTATATTCAAAATCTACACTGATTTGAAAAGAAGGSCAGACTCTGAATGCCTGTTATTTGTCTTCACCAGTTCACAGTCAAACAACTGAACAAAGCATAGATGCAACAAAACAGGAAACAATGCAGCAAAAAATAAAATATCAACTTATTTGCCTTATAGCATAAATGGAGTACTTTTATTTTGTTAAAACTGCTGTCCCAGAAGCAATATTCTGTGCATCCACATCTTAGTCTGCTCTGTGCTATCTGTAGGCCTGCTCAGGTGGGAACCTACTGAGAATTACAGCAAAGTAGGCTATTCCTCAGTAAGAGAGGAATGAAATACCTTGAATGTTCCTCTAGATACTGAGGAAACAATAAAGAAAGTTACAGGAACTATTTACAGGAAGGTAGTGGCACACTGTAAATCCACACTACTTATCCTACAGCCGTTTGTTGATGAGCCCCTCCTCCCCTGAAGGCTAAGCTAAACTATAGAGTAATTAAAACAAATTGGAGTTCCGAGTGAATATTTATTTGTGTACCAATTTACTCCCTTTCACTTATTTTGAATGTAAATTTTTAATTAATTGACTTATTAATTTGAATAAYAAGGTCTACGCAGGGATCCACTCACTGCAATAGCGGCCCCCTAAGTCTCTGGAGAGTCTGCAGACACAAGGACTTAGGAAAGAGGAGCCTGCATGGGAGAAGGTGTGGGGGACAGCACTGAACAACTGCACTGTGTATGGGGCTTAATTAAAGGAAGRCTGTGCCCATTTAGCTCTGCTACACAGTTTGGTGTCCATATGAAAAATCAGATTTTTAATTATAGTTGGCATTTCAAAACCTCCTGCTGGTTGCTACTTTCTTGCTAAAAAAAAGTGACCTCATTCCTAATCTTGTCACTGTGAGAACTCTGCTATGAGCTGCAAACAAGCTCCTATTTGTTTTAGGAAGCCTCCCCAGAAGTCTATTGTCTAAAACACAGAAACAATATATCAGATCCTCAACAGAACATGCATCTTCCAACTCGGAAAACAGTCTTCCAGACGGCTGTCTGGTGCTCAAGGGGAATGAAAAAAGTCAGAATTTCTAGATTTTCTTTAGGCATTTCCTAGAGGCTTTCTGGAAATTTTCATTGATTTAGATGGAAGCACCCCAGAAAGAACATGCAGATTCAAGACAACGGATAGGAACTGCTACTGGGCGGTATYGCTCCCAAGTTTCCAGCACAGCTTTTGCCAGAAGGATGCTCTGTCTCACCCAAACTTCCCAAAAGAAAGTCCTCCTGGAAAACATTTCTCCAAGCTCTCTTCCAGCATGACGACAGACAAAGTCCCACGTAAATATCCACGAGTTGTAATTTTAGCCTATTTTAGTTTGGTAAAACTCATTATGTCCCATCACTAATAACCTATAGGAATTACTGTTACAACAAACAAATGTAATGATGATGAAAAATTTTTAGTACTATTCAGTGAAATTTTGTGCAAGCTGGAGTGAAAACTATTCTAAGAAGTTCCTTATTATCACTTACCCTAAAATAGTTTCTCCTCTGTTTAACAAAATTTCTTTTCATTGCAATAGTTTTTGTTTTGTTCTTTAAATAAATCCTGTATTTACTCAGAATACTTTGAACTGGGAATGTACAAAAGCCATTTTCCTTGAATGCTCCCCCCACACAGCAGGTTCCCTGGCTCTTGGTTTCTAGATCCTGCCTTCTCCAAGCCCGATATTCCAGAGAATCATCCCTTTCTTTTGGGGACATTCTCATTTGTGTCTCTGGAGACTCCATTGCTTTGATTTTCCTGCATTGCCTCCCCTTTAGTCATCAAATCCATTTCTGCTTCTCCTACCAAGATCCCCCTGCTGCCCACAGCAAACCCCCAGGTCCCAGCTGCAACCACTGGGTCCAAGCTACAAGCTTCCAAGACCTCTCATTACCCATGGCCTCCCTTGAGAGCTACTCACCATCACTGGGCTGCTGGGGCAACAAAGAGCTTGGCCACTGCTCCTTCCTTTCCACGTGGTCACCATAGAATTATTACRGTTGGAAAAGACCTTCAAGATCTAGTCCAACCATAAACCCTTAAGATGATGACTGCTAAACCATGTCCCTAAGTGCCTCATATACACATTCCTTGAACGCTGCCAGGGATGGTCATTCCACCACTTCCCTGGGCATCCCACTCCTATACTTGGCTACTAGATTGCAYGTAGCCTTTAGGAGGTCTACCCAATAAAGACCAAAGATAAGCTTGACAGCGGAAGGTACCATCCTCCAGCATTAATGCAGAGAACTCAAACAACAGCATATTTACAAGAAAACATGAAGAATAAACATGAAGGGAATGAAGTTCAGCTCAGCTCACAGAAACACTTGGAGATAATCCTATTTGTGAGCCTTGCAGACACTGGTGACAGCTGCACGAGGGGGAGCTGCCCAATTGCAACTACTTGCATTTCTGAAAGGRAGAAAACAACCAAAGAGCCACGTTCTCAGCTGACCACACACAGAGCTCTCCTCCTGTCGAGTGCGACTTGTCAATAACTGCATTTGATCCTGGTTTTAATCTTACCCAGTAGGTTTGTGAGCCACAGGGCCAAATCCTCTTTCATCGGCAGCAAGTTGGCCTCATGTCTGCTGGCAAGCCACTGGCTGTACTGATGCATGTCAGAGAGGCCAGGCCCACGTGCCTTGGGGCTCAGAGCCGTGCACATGGTCTATCCACTTGTCGGACCTGTTATTAGAAGAAAAAAGATATTAATTATACCAAGTACAATTTTGTAGTTTCGCTTTCCAGAACTGAAGCAGGCAGTAACGTTAACTACGATCACAAGAAATCAGATGTCAAACAGATGTGGATTCAGCACAGGGATGTAACAGAGGACTGAAGTCCTGTTTTGTTAAAGGATGACACTGCAAGCGATTAAATTGTGTAGATAAACGACATCTTTTCTTGTACTCACCAAGCTACACGTGTGGCCATCACACGAGCAAATATTCTGCAAGGAATGATTAAAATCACATCAAATCAAACATGCTATACACAGCTCACGACTTAGCAGTGTCTTTACCCAATATCCATTCAAAGCAAACAGACAGCTCCAGAAATTTGGGGATCAGGCCCAAGAAAAACCTGTTAATAACCAAGCCACACCATAACAGCAAACTTGCTGACAATTAGCAAAGTCACCAAATGGAATTAGCCTGTTCTACATCTTTAAGAGGAATTAAAATAATTTAAAATAATTAAAGGATAAAGAAACATGAAAGGCCTCTATTTCCAAATACATAAAACACTATTTGGAATACTTCAAATTTTGCATTAAAATTTTCCAGCATCTTGTAACCATATTGTGGTTACCCAAGTTCCCTGTTAGCAAAAACACCTGCTTAGGCTCTTGCCTAACCCCTCTTGATGGATATAATGTAGCACCTCCCTCCTTACCCCAAATCCTGAAGTTTTAGGTGCCCTTGAGATACTTGATCTCAGATTTCACTTGGAATACATTTCTCACTGAAATCATACCTTTTTTTTTTCAGTTGGCAAGAGACAACAAGAAAAGATTTGGTTCCCATGCATAAAAACACAATTCTGAACCATTATTACATTTTACATTTTTCAAAATTGTAAAAAGCAAAACAAATCAACAAACAAAAACCACCAAGTCTGTTGAAAGCAAACGAGTTTAAAACAGACCACAACATGCAAGCATAGTCCTGTTCTGAAAACAGACTTTGTAAAAATGTCAACTTGAATTTATGGCTTCCTGCTTGATGACATCCAATTCATACTGCTTATTTTATTCAAGCAAGAAAAAAAAAATAAAGGGTGTTAGATTTACAAGTTCAAACTGGAACATCATTCAAAACAGATTCCTTCCGACTCCAGTGACACTAATAGTCAAGGAGTTATAAAAACACTATAGTTAAAGTTACTGTAAACTCCCCCAACCAYGCAGTTTTGTTCTTCAGATTATCAATATATTTTAGACAGATGGAAACAAGAAGGATTATTGACTTCTCACCTATCTTCCAAGAGTATATGGAAAAATCAGGTATAAATACCTCTGTCATATACCTTTTTTTCCTTCTTCCACTAAAGGAAAGCCTTAAAATAACTTTTAAAATGACTTCTGGAATCTATCAGCTTAGTTAATACTTGAGAGCCAAGGTTGGAACTCATTTACTCCCCTGTATTGTTTCTAAAGTGATATTGGTAAAAAGTGGTCACMAAATTTATCTCATTGCTAAACATTAATTTGTGTTATCGTAGGCAATGCAAAATAAAAACAGCATTTTTTTTCCACATGGATTTTTAAATATATTAACTATGCAACTAAATGTTTAAGTAAAAATCCCACGGTCCATTTCTTTTTATATGCACATYGGAAAAATATATCTGAAAAAGAGGCATCTTTGTTCTAAAAGAAACCACCAGACAGCTCGCTGCTGCTCTGCAATGARTTTCTTGGAGGTTCAAGCCAGCTTTGAGCAAGGACTCTGATGAGGTGACCCCAGAGGTCCCCTCCAGCCTAAACTGCTCTCTAATTCTACATCTTGTAGGATGCACAGCACCACATCCCAAATGGGACCCTGAAACACTCTGTCTTCTGAGGATCACAGAGGCAGAAAATTTGGGCAATAAGACTCAAATTCAGCTCTGAAGTATAGGGCTGACTTCAAACCTACCTCACACTGACCTACCCCTTGTCTTGTGCAAACTAAGCAGCCAGGTTGTAGAAMGTGTCCAGGAACTATTTGCAATTGCAAGAAGACAGGTGAGAGAAAGAAGAGCTCTGATTTGGGAGGATGAGTCAGGGCTGGAGTTCAGTAGTAACTTTGGTAGTTAGAAGAGAGAGAAGTCAGACCTAAACACGATAGTCTGAGCTTAAGGTGATTTTAAGAGAACATAGGCTTTCAGATGGGGAAAGCTAGGAAAGATAAGGAGAGGTCAAAAGGATTTGGAGGTGACAGAACTGCTAGAAGCTGAGAAGGATTTGTCTCTGCTGCAACTAAGTCTGCTTGAAATGATTCTGAATTGAGTCTGAATTTCACCTGCAAAAGAGGTGAATCCTTTTCCCACTTCTCTGAAAACCTGCCCTCTGCTTCAGCCAAATACTGGGCAGCAACAACCCCRCCTTTAAATATTTACTTAAATAAATCAGCATTCAAGGAAGAGAGCACATCAGTCCCACTAGCTCCCTTTGGCAATTCTAGAAAGGATCTGGCAGGCCAGCTACCACAGTGCATCCAAGCTCTCAAACTCTTCATTACTCCTCATGCCAACACAGTCATAGTGAGCTCCTAAACTTGAGCTCCCTCAATACCCGAGTGATAAAGTAGCTCAACTTCATTAAAATGTCCATCTGCTTCATCAGTCAAGTTCTCCTTTTCCATATCTATCCCACTTAAACATCATCAAATACCTGGGCTCCTCAAAGGAGCTGAAGGGTGGAAGGGGAGCGATAGGGGCTGCAATCACATGGTCACCTGCTCCGAGACCCCTTTGAGGATGGAGGGGTCCCAAACGTCACATTCTTGATTGTTCCCCCAGCCACCATCTCCTCACCATTCTGAACTCACTTAATATATTTATGAGCTAAAGTTTATTGACAATTTGACTACAAGGAACTCTATTAAGGAGACCAACCCACTTGCCRCAGAGGTCGACAGCAGCATGCCAGGATTCTACATGGACGAGGGAAGCAGCTTGGGCTCCAGCCACCACCACATCCCTGCTTTTTGGCCTGAACGTACTGTTGGTTTTTTTTTTTCCCTAATCTCAGAGTTTTCTAACAGTAACATCAAATCATTATATATATACATATATGTGCTGGCCAGCACAAATATGCCATGTTAGAGAACTGTCACACTTTCCTATAACCAACCTAAGACAACATCAGATATGCACACGCTCTTTAAAACTCACCTCTAACCACGTGTCTCCTCAAGCAGCCATTTCTCCCCCCGACAACCCCAAAAGCAGTTGAGGAGACATCTTAAACTCCCTCTACATTCTGTTTTGTTAYGGGCCGTATTTATGCAGCACAAGTCTCCTATTCCACCTCTCCCAGTGACAGGAAGACATCTCAAATTCTTAGACTCATTGTCTAGCCGAAGAATCCGACGTGGGATAGTTTACAGGGCGCCCAGTGACACGTAACAGCCCCAGCAAAGCAGCAGGTTGTGTTTCCCCCTGCTCGCTTCCCCCAAACAGTGAGGGTTTTCTTCTGCTTTAGAGCAGCACGTTCAGTTTTCTGCACATTGTAGCTCAGTGCCTGGCTTCTGCCARCGGCGTAAGCTAAACCACCCACTGATCCTGGCGCTGATAGCAGGGAAAGCCACGAGAATCAAGCAACTCAGCCTCTGCCACCCCCTGGCTTTTCATGGGGCTACCTAATAGGACAAAAGGAGCCAGGAATGATACTCTCTGTACAGAAAATACAAGATGGTTTTGTCCAGAAATTCAAGCTGGCCGTGCAATCAGGCCCTCCCTCACACTGAGTGACCYCTAGATTCAATTCCATTTCCTATTCCAGCCTCCTTCCTTATCTACAAAACRGTGATAACAGCACTCTTCAACCCAGAGCATTGCAAAAAGACTTTATATATATTTTTATATATATATTTATATATATAAAAAACTTTATATATGCACAAGCAAATCCTTATGCATACACATATATATGGAAAATTCACACGCTCTGGCCTGCAAATTAACCGAGCAAAACAAAGTCCTCCAAGTTCACCACCGAACTGCACTGTATATACATATATATATATATACACACACACACATAGATCCCAGCTTATACTGAGCAGCTGCTGGCTGCAGTGCTCTGTGTAACATGAGCTTCAGGACTGCCCCACTCCTGTTCATCATCACATGGGTATTTAGGCTGCCCTAAGCAAAAGGGGCACTGAGCTGTTTTGTTCAGTCGCTCCAGGTGAGGGCTGAGGAAGCCCTGCCGAGTTGTCGCCTCTTTTGGGGCTTCTTTGAAGAGTTAGCATGGGAATTACATATTTTTATTAAGGAGCATTTTGCTTGCTATTACAAAAGAACAAGATGCTAAAAATGAGTATGGAGAAGGGAGGTGGGCAGGAAAGAAATACAGGACTCTGTTTAGCCCTATCAGTCAAACCATCCCTGATATGAAAGATGATGTGTCCCTTCATACCACCTTGATACAAGTTGTTCTGGCCTCCGAGACGCATTTTGGCCACCTGGCAGCCCAAGCAGAGTCATGCAGAGATGAAGATTTTTGGGGCTGTCAGCTCAGGGCCTCCTCGCTCCACAAAAGCTGCTAGAGAAGAGGGCAAAGCTGGGCCTAGGACTCGAATTCAGAAAGGCTTTTCCTCAGGATCTTCGCAGACCTGACATATCCAGGCTTTGTGCTTGTGGACAGAGGTCTCCTGGCATGCAAGCTGCCAACTTGCAGAAGGAAACTAAGCTAAGAGGTCCATGCCATGCAGGGAGCTGCACAATAGGGGAGAGAGAGACCTAGACAAGAGCAGCAAGGGCTTCCTCCCGAGCGAGCGGAGCTGGAGCACGAGACCRCGCGTTGGCTTGGACAGAGGGGTATGGGCTGGAGCTGCAGACAACCTCCCGCTGCCTCAGAKAGAAGGTAATGCTCTTGGAAAGCAGCCACGCTGCAGAGAGAGGAGACAGAGCATCAAAAGCCAGAACAGAGCTCACGAGGATCTGGCAGGAGTCTCTGCTGGATCTCCCCGCTA